AGACATTTCGACGAGGGACTATTTGGGCCTGTACCGAGACTTGGTGTTGACGACATTCCCATCTTCCCCTCCTCTTTCGTCTAACCCCTCCTTCTTCGTCTGTGTATGGTTGGGGCTGGCGCAGTCTTCTTGTGTGAAGCGCCAGACCCCCTTCACACCAGATAACGATGATGATGATGTGTGTTCAGGGCTGCATTGCAATATTGATTGTTCGGATCATTCGTATCAAGTCTTCCGCTGTGTTATCTTGTACTTAGCATTGAGAGGTCGGTTCTTGTTCTGGTCTGCACGTTACAGTATGCAACAGTTTGGTATCGGAGCGGACCTCTCATTCAGAGGACCCGCTCAATCAAGTAGCCAGCTTGCGATCTATTGATCACTCATTAGTAACGCAAGTAGGACTTCGTCAAATCTCTGAAAAGTTTTTTTCTCGCAACAACTATCTGAAATTTCTGATATTCGCATTTCGTTTTACCTGAAAATTTCTGATATTAGTAGTTCGTTTTTACGTAGCAAATATCTGAAAATTTCTGATAAATCGCATTTCGTTTTGTCTGAAAATTCCCGATAGTAGCATTTCGTTTCTCTGATATTTCGCATACATAGCTGAAATTTCTGAAGTAAGTATTTTCGTTCTCTAGGCATATTAAGATAACGATAGAAGTGGTCATATTCTCGGAAACTGAAATTATTCTTTTCTGAAAATCGAATTTCCATTCTATCTCGCAAAGTTTTTTTTTTGAAAACCGAAATCTTGCGAAGCCTACCAATATTGTGTTAGGCATATTCGGAGGTTGCATATTCTCAGAAACTGGATTTTGTTCTCTTCTGAAAATCGCATCTTTACTCCATCTCGCAAATTTTTTTTTCAAGATCGCAGTTTGTAAAAGCCGAAACTTTGCGGAACCTAGCCTAGATCTCGTCCATAATACTCTTCTGACATGTCCTACTCATTATAGATCGACAGATGTACAAAAAAAAAGAAAAAATAAATAAATAAGTAGTCCTCTTTTATTTATTTTATTTTATTTTTTATCTGTTGATTAGGGCCGGAGGAAAGTATTGTTGGGTTGTCCTACCTGCGTTTTCCCTCCCACCTACCCTTTGCATGCATTTCCGGATTGGTACAGTGCCACGTCAGACAGTGCCACGTAAGCAGTGCCATGTCAGACACAGTGCCACGTCAGCAGTGCCACGTCAGATACAGTGCCACGTCAGCAGTGCCACGTCAGACACAGTGCCACGTAAGCAGTGCCACGTCAGCAGTGCCACGTTAGATACAGTGCCACGTAAGCAGTGCCACGTCAGCAGTGCCATGTCAGACACAGTGCCACGTCAGCAGTGCCACGTCAGCAGTGCCACGTCAGTAGTGCCACGTAAACAGTGCCACGTCAGACACAGTGCCACGTCAGACAGTGCCACGTCAGCAACATGACGGGCCTGCCGGGCCAACTGGCCAATGAGCCCATTGCCGACTACGAAAAGCGCTTCCAGGCTCAGCTCGTTGCAGTCAAGGTTGAGGAACAACGCCATCTAGCAGTCAAGGCTGCCCAGCTACAGGCTGAAGAAGTGGCAACAGCAGAGAAGTTGCGGCTACAGGCCGAAGCAGACGCAGATGCCCAGGCTCGCCGCAAGGAAGCCCAGGATCTGCTGCAGCGGCATGAAGCCACAAGCATCGAAAAACTCGAGTTCTGGCACTTTGAACCAAACGGCGACGACGGAACACCGGAAGAGCAGCATAAGGAGTTTCTCTCCAAACTCGTGACACGGTTGTTGTATGCTTGCAACTACCAACGGTCCGAGTTGGAGAAACAGTACCAGGACCTGACGCAACAGCATCAGGAGTTGGCAAAGCTCCGCCATACAGTTCAAAGCCACGAGGATGCAACTCGGGCACTCAATGCCCGATTGCTGGACCTGGAACATGCTGTACCAGGACCAGCTGTTGGGGCTTCCAGCAGTGCATCCTTTAGCTGCCAACTGGAGGAACGCGTTGACCACGTAGTGGAAATGCTCGGCGACATCAGCACCTTTGCTGCGCCGACCACCATCACCAGTCAGCTGCATACCTTGAAGACCGAGGTCCAACAGTTGCAGTCGACGAACGCGGATGACAATCTGAAGATGTACAAGATGCCAACTTTCCAACTGGACAAGTTCGACGACTACACGCAGCAGGATCCGGTCCTCTGGTGGGAGGCATTCACGACGCAACTCAGGATTCTGCCTGTCGCCAAGCATGCGTACATCGGCGCCCTGTTCYTGAACTCAAAGGGCGGATGCCAGACCTGGTTGAGCCACCTGGCAACCTCCCACGGCGTCGACGTACCGGACTTGAAGGACAAGATCACATGGGAGGAACTGACACGGCTGTGGAAGAAGCGGTTCATCGTCGACGACGCGCCGACACTCGCCATCAACCGTCTGTTCACCATGTCACAGGGCAACACTGCAACACGGGATTGGCTCAGGGAGTGGCAGAAGATTGCGGCGGTGCCCAATCTGGAATTGGCATTCACGCATCTACGCCGTGAGTTCTACAACAGGTCCTATGCGGCATTGAGCCAGGCTCTTGGTGATCGCGAGCAGTACTCAACCTTCGCTGAGATCATTGACAAGGCGAGGGAAATCATCAAGACCAACAGGTCAGCTGCACACGAGAAGTCAACATGGCCGCCGACCTATGTGGAGAAGGTACGAACTGGTCCGCGACAGCAGCACTTCGCTGCAGTCCAGTCGGACAGTGGAGATAACCCAGCAGCCAGTCCAGCATCAAGTGACAGAGATCAGGTGGCTGCTGTCCAGCCGCGAAGCAACAACAAGTCCCGCAACAATGGGAAGGCGAAATCTGCATCGCAGGCCGGAAATGGACAGCCAGTACAAGTTCCATGGGTCAAGTTCGGCTTGACCGAGGCGGAGTACAAGGTCCGCGACCGCTACGACAGCTGCTATTGGTGCAACAGCACCAAGCACAAGACCTCCCTGTGCCAGGATCAGGGCAAGGAGGATGTGCGACCCCGCCTCAACTCGGGAAACTGAGTTCCGCGGAAGGTGAGGCGACTCCACCTTCCACTCCGCCAGATTCGACCGCCTTGCTAGCGGCCTCCTGCACATCTGGGGAGGATGCGAACGTCGCAGGTTCTCGTTACACTTACGAGGACTATGTTGTCCACTTGGTTCCACCGCTGGACCAAGCGCTCCACGTGCAACAATCCATCGCATGCACGGTTTCATCACCATCGGCAACCGATTTGGCACGTTCGCCGCAATCTTTCGTCGGGGATTCGACGTCATGGTCAAGACTTGAGGAGCTCGACCCATTGACGTTCACGGACTTCCAGTGGATACCCGTTCCCCCGACCGGACGAGTGCCGAAACCGCATTGCAATGTGCTCATGGCACAACTGCGGGATTACTTGCACACTGCAGTACCAGCTCCGTTGATGGACGCCGGAGTGGAGGTTGTCGACCTTCGCGCTTACATTGCGAAGATCGATTGCGAGTTCAAGATGCAACGGTACGACGACATCGACGCACCATTGCTATACGTACGCATTCAGATCGGAGAGGCGACCTGCAACGCCTTGATCGATTGCGGAGCATCTCGTAACTACATCAGCCAGGACTTCATGGTACGCGCCGGCCTTGGCCCACGTGTCCGGAGGAAGTCCCAGCCTACACAAGTCACTTTGGCAGACGGTCATAAACACAAGTCCATCGACCGGTGCATTGACAACGTCCTAGTGTACTTTGCCCCTCACGCAAGTGAGGCGGTGTCCTTTGACATTCTGGAGACCAAATTTGACATGATCTTGGGCATGTCATGGCTGCGAAGCGAGGATCACCCGGTGAACTTCTTCCACCGCACCGTTCACATTCGTGATCGGAACGGAGTACTAGTTCCATGCACGGTGCCTCTTCCTCATCCTTCGATCAGCTGCCACGTGGTATCCGCCGCAAGCATGCGAGCTTCCATCATCAGAGACGACATCGAGCAGATGGGGGTGTGTTTTCTCCATGCCCTCCCGCCCCATGACGCTTCATCGACGGACTCACCTTCGGATCCACACATCACCGAACTTCTCGACGCCTACAGCGACGTGTTCGAACGCCCGCACGGAGTAGTACCGGATCGACCCATCCACCACGAGATCATCCTCGAGGACGGGGCCGTACCTCCGCGTGGTTGCATCTACCGAATGAGCGAGGAAGAGTTAAGTGTGCTTCGGGCACAACTCGACGACCTTCTCGAGAAAGGCTGGATTCGGCCTAGCTCATCGCCATACGGTGCTCCTGTTCTCTTCGTCCGAAAGAAGAACAAGGACCTGCGGTTGGGCATCGATTATCGCAAGCTCAACGCGCAGACAATTAGGAACACCGGCCCTCTCCCACGCATCGACGACCTTCTCGAGCGACTGGGCGGCGCCAAGTTTTTCTCCAAGCTGGACCTCAAGTCGGGATATCACCAACTCAAGATTCGCAAGGAGGACCGTTACAGGACCGCGTTTAAGACGCGATATGGGCATTTCGAATGGCTGGTTATCCCATTTGGCCTTACGAATGCCCCGACCACTTTCCAAGCGGCTATGACAATGGAGTTCCGACATATGCTGGATCGTTTCGTACTTATCTACCTCGACGATATTCTGGTCTACAACCGGAGTTTGGAGGAGCATGTGGAACACCTGCGCACCGTTTTGGAGCGGCTACGACAAGCCAAGTACAAGGCCAACCGCGACAAGTGCGAATTCGCACGATAGGAGCTGGAGTACTTGGGACATTGTGTGACGCCGCAAGGCATCCGTCCGCTTGCGGACAAGATCGAGGCCCTACGAGTATGGCCCGATCCCACCAACACCACGGACGTTCGTTCATTCATGGGATTGGCGGGCTACTATCAGCGATTCATCACTGGATACTCAAGGATTGTTGCACCTATGATGAGGTTACAGTCGCCAAAGGTGCCATTCGTATTCGATGACGACGCACGCCGGTCATTCCAAGCACTTAAGACGGCCATGCTCATGGCACCCGTCCTTAGCATCTATGACCCCACCCTGCCGACGCGAGTGACTATGGACGCTTCCGGCTATGGCATTGGGGCAGCCTTGGAACAACATGACGGCGACGACTTGCACCCGGTGGAGTATTTCAGCCACAAAGTGCCTCCCATCAACTCGCTTGATGATGCAAGGAAGAAGGAGCTGCTCACATTCGTCTCAAGCGATGGCGGCACTTCCTCCTTGGGCGTCGTAGGTTCACATGGGTTACAGACAACAATCCGTTGACCTACTACAAGACGCAGGATACGGTGAGCAGCACGATCGGACGATGGATGTACTTCATCGACCAGTTTGACTTCACACCGAAACATCTTCCCGGCCTCTCAAATCGCGCAGCAGATGCACTCTCGCGAAGACCTGATCTTTGCGCTATGACACATCATGCCTTCGCATTCGACGAGGAGCTTTAGCGACACTTCATCCGGGCATACGAGTCTGATCCGGACTTCGCCACGCTGTATGCACAACTATCTTCGGATCACCCGCCGGCCAGCCATTACCGCATTGTCGACGGGTACTTGCTCCTCCACTCGAGAGGCAAGGACTTACTATGTGTCCCACGCGACCGTCGTCTTTGGACTCGCCTCCTCGGCGAGTATCATGATTCGTGACTCGCCGGCCATTTCGGAGTCAACCGCACTATTGCACGGCTTCGACAGCAATTCCAATGGCCTGACCTCATTACCGATGTCACTCGGTATTGCGACTCGTGCGAAGTTTGCCGACGCAGCAAACCCCGCAACCGCAATCCTTATGGCGAGGTACACCCGATGCCTATCCCACGGGAACCCGGTCTCTCCATTGCCATGGACGTCACCGGTCCGTTTCCTCGCGACCGGCTCGGGCACGACGACATCCTCATGGTTGTGGACCGATTGAGTAAGTACGCGCATTTTCTCCCTTGCAAGTACTACTCCACGGCTCCCGAGCTGGCACGCCTCCTGCACACTGGTTGGATTTGTGGCCACGGTGTACCAGAAGACATTGTCAGCGACCGCGACACTCGTT